TTTACGATGTCAAAGTTCTGTGAAAGAAAGAAAGAAGGAATTGTTTTTAAAAAACCACGATTATTTAAGGGTTTCTGAGGCAATCTTAACTAAAAACATGCTGATACCAACCTATCTTAGTGACGTCGCAATGATTCTGTTCTGTCTCGACGATCACTCGTCAACAGTCGACAGTAAATCAATTTTATACCACAAATCTACGGTAGTTGATTTAAGCAGAGAAAAGCAGATTTTTGCTCACTCTAAATTTGCATTTAAATGACATTTTTAATTTTTAGAGAAAAAAAAGAATTTTTTTTCTGCTGTTATTGTCAAAACATTATTTGTGCTTAAAATGCTTGGAAAATCAACGACAGACACTGTTCACTTTTTTACTTTAAATTTTTGTCGATTTTGTTGATATTTTACAAAAAAAAGCTATTATTTATTATACATAATTTTGGTTTTAGAAGATTAAAAAAAAGAATGGAATTAAACAGCAGTACATTGTAATCCGTTAGTACGACCAAAAAAGAAAGTTTACAGAACAGCTAACAGTATAAAGTCAAAAATCACTAAAGAATTCTACAGTAACCGTTGTAAGCATTGACTCCATTAGTATTGTTTCCCGAAAACTAATTACACTAACTTTTGACAACACAACCACTCTGTTCTTTGCTGTTTTGTATACACCAAATATCAAATGGATAAAAATAAAAAACAGTGAAAACCAAATTCAACCAAAAAAGAAAAAAATAAAATTTTTGGCATTTTAAAATGTTTTAATAAGTCAAATATATTTATACAGTAATCAACAACTATTTTACTTTACACTTTTTTTTTTCAAAAATCTGTGTCGCGACCATACGCGAAACGGCACTTCTTACAGTAAGTGACCGACAGAATTATGTTCCCTGAGGGGACGCTCTTAAAGGAGCATACTATCTAAGTCACGCCACCGGTGGGATAGGTATATATAGGCAGTGACAGTCTGATAAAGTTAGTGTTTTTCATTGCAATCAAATCGAGTTGATTGTCGGCGGTCTTCTATAAAGCTTTCTCTTGTTACGTGCTCATAGGCAGTTAGTCGTGTCTTTATTACTCCTGCAAAAGATTCTTTACTTAAGATTCTTTACTTATTATATCACCTTATTGTGTATAATAGAGTTCGGATCGCTTTAAGTAATGTCTTATAGTTGTTGTATAATCTAGTTTGCGAGTAATAAACTAGGTAGTAGTAAGGGTAATAATTTTTTTTTGTTGTTTATGTAATTTTTACACAAGAATGGTTGTTTTTTCTTTCAATCATTTGAATATTTACTGTTTTAACTACTAAAGCTGTTTTACTATAATTTTACAAAACTGCTAATTAAATGTGGAAGCAAAAAAAACCTTGTTTAGTTCATTATTTACAAAGAAGTTCATTTCGAAAATTTTTCAACAACAGGAACAAAAAAGAGTATTTTTGTTTATTAATTCTCCTTTTTTTTTTTTTTTTTTGCTGAATAAAGGATTAGGACTAGTTGCTGTATGCAAAAAAAGGAGCAATAAATTTATGCAACATATAATTTTGTCAGTTAAGTGTTGACGTATTAAAAAAAAACGTTGATTATACAGTGAACAAAGATCAGTGTCATCTAAGATTAAAATCAAATTTAAAATAGCTTTGAAAAAATTTTTTTAAAAAAATTATTAGCTTTTCAAAGTTTTACCACAGCTTTAATCCCTCCTCCTTCTCTTTTGTTATTCTTTTTTTAAAAAATATTCATTTGCATTTCAGTTGTCAACAACAGTAATGTACAATTAATTTATGCCCGTCTAAAACAACAATTTTGTTCTACAGTAAAATTTTTTGCAATATAATAACAACAGAAATAACTGTTAAAATGATACAGTCGCTGTAACACGAAAATATTCTATTTCATATTTCAATCCATTTTGAGTCAACCTTTTATCCTAAGTTCAGTAACCAGTAACAGTGTTCAAACTTAAGTAATTATTGACTTTTCAACATTTTTACTACTGTTTAACGCGAATTTTTTTCCCAAAAACAGTAAAATAAAAAGAAGAAAAAAGAAGAAAAAAAGCAGAGAAAACAAACTGTTCATCAGTCAGTAGAAACATTATTATAATTCAAATTATAATTTCTCACTTTTTTTGAGGGGTTTCTTTTCGCATTGTCGAAAAAGGTTGAGCACCAATTGTTTCAGCAGATGACTGCAATAGAAAAGAATATATGACAGACTGTAAATATGACCGTAATTTGGCAAAAAAAAAAAAAAAAAAAGGAAAAGAACTGCTGATTGTTCATCTGTTGTAAAAAAAAAAAAAAAAAAAA